TATTCTATAGCGCCAAAAAAGGACATAATTCTCCTCGGAAACCCTATGCTGGGTGGCTATGGTGAGAACCAATTCGACAGCACTTAATAACATTCATAAGCTAAGCTGGTCCCATGCATCTGAATGACAGGACAGTATTTGGGAACCAGGGGTAAGGTTCTCCCTTTCCCTCAGCTGGAAGCCATTTTGGGACCATCAGATAAATGGCCTCTTTGTTTTAATTGTTGTTGTTAAGTGCCGTGGAGTTGGTTCCGACTCATAGCGGCCCTGCACAGGGTTTCCGAGGCTGTAAATCTTTATGGGAGCAGAACGCCTCATCTTTCTCCCACGGAACCGCTGGTAGTTTCGAACTGCTGACCTTGCGGTTCACAGCCCGATTCATAACCACTATACTCCAGAGCTCCTTTGTTTACAAGGAGTTTATTTTTACTCATGGCATTCCACGTGTGCAGCACAGAACTGCCACATAGGGTTTTCAATACTGTGATTGTTTGAAAGCAGATCACCAGGCCTGTCCTCCAAGGCACCTCTGGGTGGCTTTGAACCACCAACCTTTTAGTTGGTAGTCAAGTGTGTAACCATTTGTGTCACCCAGAATCAACACTGAGAAAGCAGAGGCAAAGCAAAGCAAGATAAGTCTACTCCGGTCCTGTGGAGCAATACAAGCCAATAAATGAAAACATTTGATTAAGTCTGCCTGTATTTCTATTACGTGCAGGGGAAAGAGTCCTACTTGATAGTATTAAGTTGTATATTTCCCCATGAACTTTTAAGCAGCATCACTTTTGCCAGTTATCTTCCCAACACAGCCTCATGTTAGGATTCTGGGTCAACTTGACTAGGCCAGGGTTCCCAGTGGTTTAGCAATTGAGATATGCTTATTCCCACGTTGATGATAGCTAATACAGGCACAGTGAACTCTATGATGAGTGGCTACTCACAGCCACTCATCAACTGAAGATGTGCTTTCTTGGGGGTGTGGCCTGCTTCCAAAATAATGGACACTCTGGAAAGGCTCTCTCTTCCACTGGGGATCTGGGACTTGGCAATTGTAAGCCATTTCCATGATAATAAACTTCTTTGCATATATACATATGCATGTTTCACCGGCTTTGATTTTCTAGAAAACCCAGCCTAAGGCACCTGGATATATCATTCTTCAGCTTATGAAAACACTGCTTCCTACTATCCTCAGGACAAAGTTCAAGCTTCTTAAACTATTAGTCTTTCACAATTTAACCCCTTTCTACTTTTTCAGCCAATGTTCTGTTCCTCTCATCTTCAGGTACATACCCTACACTTTAGTGTGATCAGACATAAACATATGTTATGGGTTTGCTCAATTTACTCAGCCTAGATTGTATTTTCTCTTCTCACAGCTTTTTTGAATTGATCAAGAATAGAATCTTGAGTGCATAAGGGATTAACTATCTTAAACCATTAACCATTACGCATCACCATTGTCTCTGTTGACTCAGAGTCTAAAAGAGTGGGGAGGGGGGAGAAGACACTGATGTATCCAGACACTTGATAAAAAGTACATTTAGATACCAAATATCTCATTTTAATATAGTTATTTTATAAGAATCTCAGAAAGCTACCGGCTTAGACAATGCATATAGCTTTAAGCTACTGCAAAAAATGGATAATCAAAATATAAAAACAAACATCCCCATAAAAACTTTGACATGCATCTTCACAGCAGTAGTATTCATATGGTTGATGAGTAGAAAGAACCTAACTATCAGCTGATGAGCTGATAAATAAAATGTGGTATATTTATTATATAACAGTTATATGATAGTTGACAATAAAAAGAAATACTCATCTATATTAAATATTAAATAACCATGAAAATGGGGAATGTGGTTGCGTTGTAGGATAAACACTGGAATTTGAATAAGGTTGGAGGTTCAAGTCCACCAGCCACTCTTGAGGAGGAAAATGAGGATTTCTACTCCTGCAAAGATTTACAGTCTTGGGAACCCGATACAGGGTCGCTTTGAGTCAGAACTGGCTCAACAGCAGTGCGCAACAACAACCTTGAAAACATTGTTTTTAAGTAAAAAAGCCAGACACAAGAGACCATATGTTGTGTGGTTCCATTTGAAAGAAATGTCCAGAATAGCATATTCCAATTAGTGGTCACCTAGGATTTGAATTGTGGCACTGTAGAATAAGCACTAGATTGGTAACTTCAAGGTGGGCAGTTCAAGTCCACTAGCCACTCTCATAAATCCTATACAGGGTCACTGAGTCAGAACCACTCAACTATATACAATAACAACAAGGGTTTTTGGGAAATGTGTGGGGATTTGGGGTTGATGGCTAAAGGGGGTGAGGTTTCTTTTTGGGGGTGAAGTAAATATTCTAAAGTTGCTTTTGGTGATGGATGCACAACTCTGTGAATATACTAAAAGAACTGAACTGTACCTTTTAAATGGGCAAGTTGCCTGTTATGTGAGTTGCATTTCAACATAAAAAAACATTGCTCTTGAGTCAAACTGACTCATGTTGTTGTTGTTAAGCGCTGTGGAGTCGGTTCTGACTCCGAGCGACCATGCACAGGGTTTCCGAGGCTGTAAATCTTTACGGGAGCAGAAAGCCTCATCGTTCTCCCGTGGAACTGCTGGTAGTTTCGAACTTCTGGCATTGCGGCTCACAGCCCGATTTGTAGCCACTACACTACCAGATCTGACTCATAGCAACCCTATAAAACAGAGAACTGCTTCAGAGTGTTTCCTAGACTGGAATTGTTATGTAAGCAGCCTGGCACATCTTTCACCCATGGATTGGCTAGTGGGTTCCATTTGCTGACCTTTCAGTTAGTAGCAGCTGAACGCTTAACCACTGTAACACTAAGGTTCCTTACATCTCAGTGTTGTTAAGCACAACTGAGTCAGTTCTGACTCACAGTGACCCTGTATAGTGTTTCTAAGGTATGGTTGGTGGGTTTGAGCCACTAACCTTGTGGTTAGCACTCCAGTGCTTATTCTATAGGGTCACCCCACTCCATCCATCCTGGTAGAAGAACTAATTGCTCCTTTATTTGTGTTCCTGTTATACACTATTCCTGCTTCTTTCATAGTATTACGTTTTCCTAGAGTTGTTAACAGGTCTCACTGAACTATAACCTGCCCAAGGGCAGAGGCAGTGGCTTTTGTTGATATTTCTGCAATACTAGAAACAATTCATATTTGAACTCAATACAAGTTTTCTGAATGAAAGACATCTTACTGGTGGCTCCTTTTAAATGCAGTTTTGAAGAATTTTATCCCAGGATCTGTTCTTTTGTTAGGTTTTCTGGGATCCTGAAAACAGGTGTCTCTCTCCAAGTGGCTCATCACAGGAGCAGTGATCGGCATGGAGTGAGAGAGCATTTGGCACTGTCCCTAGAAACGAGTACATATGAAAATCTGAATCTAATGACATCTAAGATGAATCTTCTCAAACACCAACAGATTCCATAGTAGACCTTTTGGAAAATACTTCCCTTTGGAAACAAGATATAACCAAAGGTAGTGTAAAACCTTGAACCCAGCTTCTTATGGCTGATTTAGGTCAGTTGGGAAGATGTATTAGGCTTAGAAGACTTCATTCTACCAAAATCCCCTCCCCAACTAGATGGCTGTCTGGAATCTTCTAATCAGAGTTTTATTATACGCCATAGAGGGGAGCTATGTGTAAAATACATAAAATGTATTCCTGGGAGGAAGAATATTTTAACCTCTGGTGTGGCACTGTAGGATAAGCACTGGACTGCAAAGTCAATTTGAACCGTAAGGTTGGTGATTCAAACTCACCAGCTGCTTCTTGGAAGCCCTATACAAGGTCATTATGAGTTAGAACTGACTTGATGGCACTTAGCAATAACAACATTATTCATTTATACCTAAGAGTGATATCCAATACAGTTCTTGAAAGCAGGTTTAAGAGAGGGATAAATAAACACTTTAAAGAAACACTGGTACTTAGGGTGAGAAAAGAAATGTACCTAAGAGGGAAAAAGTTACCAAAAATAACTTTTAATTCTCAAGTTTGCTAGCACTTACTAGACAAATGGGAAGCATGGTGGCTCTGTGTGATAAGCTCTGGACTGCGATCCACAAGGCTGGTGGTTCAAGCCCACCAGCCACTCCTTGAGAGAAGGTTGAGGTTTTCTGCTGCCACGATTTACAGCCTCAGAAACCCTATAGGTTTCTATGAGTGAGAACCTACTGGACATGTCTTAATAACATCAAGTAGACAAATCCATAGCCAGAAAATTACTTTAATTTTATTACTAGGGTGTGCCTTTATTTAACAAAACTGTGTAGGAATATTGTTTTAATATAACAGATGGGAATGTTTACAGGGGTTTACAGTCACGGCTCTCCTGCTTACCTGCTATGTGACCCAGAGAAGTCACCTCTCTGAGCTTGGACAGTTTTCATTGATGAACCTGACACAATAATATGTCCTGTTATTTCATAGGGTGTTTGTGAAACTCCACTGAGATCACTGAAGTTAAATGCTTCACACACTAGACAACAAAGCCTAAGTCTCACTCAGTATCAATGGAGTTCGTTTTTGTGGTACACAAAGGGAAAAACAGAAATGTTGGGCCTTTAGAATCCTGTTCCTTTACAGTCTTAAGGGGCTTCACTCAGGTTCAGATGAGTGATCTCATTAGCATCTGGAAAAATTATTTTGTTACGTTTTAGCTCAGGGCACTCATGCTTTGTCTAGCTAACCAACACCATTCTAAGAGACAAAAGCTGTTCTTTGACCATTGTCCTAAGGAATTGTTCATTAGTATCAGAAAATGGGGAGGGAAGACAGGCAGGGATGAGTGATATATTTGAGCAGCTAGGACACACAGTATCTGTCCCTCCTCTGATCTCTTTCCTGTTCCTCACCTGTACTGAGCACTTGGCAATGAACAGATGCAACCCGGCAACCTCACCTGTCTTGACTGTGTCTCCAAAACTGTGTAGGACTTCTCCTGAGGTGCAGAGACCATGACCTACAGATACTTGTGTCTCCTAGTTTCTAGCAGTAAGTATTTATTAAATGAAGGCACGAGTGAGGCTGAGGTTGCACATCAAGGAGGAGAAAGCAGCAGCATTGGGCAGAATTTCCCTCAAGGCAGGCTACCCGCACCTGCAAAATTGAAAAGAGACTCTGCCTGGGGTGGAGTCTGCCTCACCCCTTATAGGACACCCAAGAACATGGATGCTTGAGAAAGACATGAGACATTAGGAGACAGCTCAGAGAACAGCTCTCATGACAGTAAAGAGTTGAGAAAATAAGACGTAGAGAGAGACAGAAAAAATATCGGGATTAGTAGACCTCACAAGAGGAGTGTTGGAATAAAGTATGACTGGTAGGAGATGTGGGAACCTAGGCAGAGTGATTATTTAGAGCAGAGCTCCTCAACCTTTTTTTGTGGCAGGGTACTCTTAGGGAAAGATCCCATTTCGATGGCCCACAAGTGTAATCAGGAAAGGATGCTCACAATTAGATTCTATGCTCAGGCTTTGGCACTCCTGAGACCTACATTGCCATCCCAAGGGCTGAGGAATCAATAGTTTAGCATACAGTAGGCTTAAACCTGCTCCTTGGAAACTCTTATTTTGTTAAGTACATTTGAGTCAGCTCTGACTCACAGTGACCCTGTATATAGTTTCTGAAGAGCTGCTCAAGCCACCCTTGAGGTTGAGTGCTTCTCCTACAGGCCCTATACCAGAACTCTGCAAACCCTATACAGGGCCACGCTATTAGATGGAACCAAATCACTGGCAATTAACAATAACAAACTATCGCTGACTTTGACGGAACAGGTTATCACCCACCTGTTAGGAAAGTGAGGTAGGAAGCAGGAACTATGTATTTTAGTCAGGGTAAGAAGTGGGAATGAACAACAAATGAATGATTGAAGTAAAAGGAAGAAATTTTTGGATTTGAAAGTAGCAGATTGCTTTGGCAAAGGATGTGTATGTGTGTGTGTGTGTGTGGCACGTGTCCCAAAAGACTGTGGAATTTAAGCTTCACAAACGTCAGAAAAATAAATGCTACAAATTTACCTGCCAAGTCACTTGAAAGGTTATTTACATTTATTCTGTAATTATTTAAATTTTGAATGGTGAATAATGAATTATTAAATTCAGTAACTTGAGTCAACCCCTCTGATTGAAGATGGCAAAGGCTGAAATGAAAAATTAAAAAAAAAAAAAAAATTACCATTCAAGATTCACAAAACTTTAAGTTCTATATCTATGTTGGTAAAAGGCAAAAATATTCTGTGGGAGAGGTGATTTGAATCTGTATGTGATCCTGAAAATATAAATGTATGGCTTTGAACAAGAATTCCAGGCAGTACACTTCAGATATTCAAGGCAATGTAATTGGTTGGATCCAAGTCAGTTTCCAAACAGTATAGGGGACTCAGATTATATCTAGGTTACAAATGGAATTAACTAAAACAGAAAAAAATAACTAAGGTAAATATATATTATGATAAAGGGTAGAGTTAGAAATACAGTAGTCCTGGACAGGAAGATGGGGGTGGGGCTGTGGGTAGAGCCTCCGAATGCCCCCTCCATCACAATCATAAGCCCTTTGTGACTTCAAAACTTTGTCATGCTGGCCTGAGACTATATAGTCCAGAGCCCATCCCCTCGGTGCTCAGAGCAGTTCAGAATAATGGAGATCCCTTTCTCATTTCTGAATAGCGATCCTGATGCTTTGTGGAGCTTCTTATTCTTTCAATAGTGACCTCACCCTCACCTTCCTGTATTGTCTGGGGTTGCTCCTTCTCTTCCTGTGCTATGCACTGTGGAATCCATACTCACCATCCTGGTGGATCAACAAAGGCATCAAAAAGGTAAGGAGACCTGGGCTGAGCTCCCAACAAAGGTTCTGGTTTCTGATTTTATTCCCACTTGCTGAGTCAAATATGTTGGCATAAACAGCTTTCCTGTGATGGGAAGTATGACGAGACTGAGGTGCTTGAGGAGATCTTTGTCCTTCTAAGGGAAGAGAGCAGGCAGGGATAGGGCTTCAGCAGACTAAGATTTCCATCTGAAGCTCACAGTTCAGCTGGATGTGGTGGAAGGTTCCTGAATAAAATCCCAAACACAGTGATTCTGTTGTCCTGGTTAAAAGAGTTTGGGATCTTTACAGAAGAAAGTCCCAATTGTTAATCACTGGTCATATTTCCATATCAGGTGTCACATGACCAAGACATACTTGGTGTTGTGACAATCACATGAGTGCTGACTCTGAGCTGCAATGCAGGGTCCTATCTGCAGAAGCTGTTGGTCCTTGAATACAGTGATGAGTGACTAGGAATATTGTGGTTCCCAGAGATATATTTTACCACCTTTGAAATGAATAAAAAGGAACATGAAGTGCTTTTCATTAAAATGTTCTTAGCTTACAAGAAAAATATAAAACAACATAGGCAGACCGACTGTTACTATAAGAACAAGCAACTTGCTTGCCCAGGAAACATCAAGGCAAGTGGTCGGGTCCCCTCAGTGCAAACCCCCTTCCAAGACTAAGACTCAATGGGAATACACGCTCTGATTGGTGACCACGCTCAACACCGATAAGGGGAAGTCAGGGAAAAACAGCAATGAAGCTGAGAGCTAAGTCCTACAACGTTCAATAGACTCCTGTGAACCCAGGTGGAGACCTGGTTGGCCAGCAGTGTGGCAAGACCTGGGGACTCTTGGGCCCAGAGTCAGTGACATAGCCACAGAGGACTAGAGTGGAAAGTGAAGCATCCAGCTGATAAGAAGAGAGGGCATATGCGTAAGAACACCCACACTTGCAGATAATACCCACTTGTCCTGGCTTCAGTGACTGGATGATCAGAGCTCAACCAGAAGTAAAAAGAAGAGGAAAAAAAAAAAAAAGTATTCTCATACAATTTGATGAGCTTGACCTCCACCTATGGAAGCAGTAGCTCAAAAGAGGGAATAAACCTTACAGCAAGAATCATTCCCACCCCCTCCACACACAGAGTTCACAGGGAAGGGCAACTTGGACACTGGCTACCCAAAATGGGGGGCGGGGAACTACAAAGGCAAGAAGTGACTGGCTTACAAGTTTTCAAGAGGGAACCTAGATCCAGAGGGCCTGGAGGAAGGTAGAATCTCCAGTGAGTAGTATTCAATCTATCTAGGCGGGCTGATGCAATGAAATGCAGACGGGTTTCTTGTGATACAACAGTGCATAATAGTTATCAGGATTGATTGTGAAAGTTGGAAATGTAAAGGTATAACTTTTCAGTCTAGGAGCAGAGGTCCCTAGGACCATCAAGGGAGAAAAGCGGAGAGTGGGACCCTACCCAGAGAAGCAGTGATGCCTGAAATGGAGGCAGAGATGATGATGTGGAGTGATGGAGCAGCTGGGGACTTTAGATCCAGAGAGGGAGACCGACTGTGTGCTGAAGACCTGGGGAGTACGGGGGGGCAGGATTGCAGGGTATACCCTTTGGTTGGTTGATGATGCATGGGGGGGACTGTAACCATAGCAATGAGATGATATAAAATAGAATAAATGTAAAATTAATGTTCTCCCTTGTAAACTATCACATAATTCACAATAAAACATTTAAGAAAAGAAAAAGAAAATGCTCTTAGCTGCCATTGAATTAGCTATAACTCATTGCAATCTTATGCACCATCAGTCATTTGCATGTTTGAGGCCACAGGTGTAGCTATCGTGACAATCCATCTCATGGAAGGTTTCCCTAGATTTTGCTGATTTTTTTTTTTCATAAAAGTCGTATCATTTATGGATAATGTCCCCAGGTTCCTAAAGGATGGAGTGATAGAATTGAGTGGCAGTCCTTCATTGTGTTTTTATTTCCTCAGAGCAAATGCAGAGCCAGGAAGAGGAAGAAAGGTGGAATATTTCAGGGTAAGGCGCTACCTATTGCTACTGGGCTCTCTAAGTGTGACTCCCTCTTCTTTCCATGAGGCTCCAGGTCTATGACCTCTAGACATGTCAGCTGTTAGGTTAGCTACGTTATTCTTGAAAACAGCTAGAACCTGAGATTCCCTACTCTTTCTACTCATGGGCATGAATTAGTGGTGGGTGTGGGCACAGGGTGTAGCCTAATAGGTGGGTGTGTGAGTTGTTGAGGGAGGAGTTTGGAATCAGATTTGTTTCCTGACTTTGCAGAAGTAGTTAAATATCGTGGATGCTCACAGTCCTCTATGAGATCACCACTGTTCTCTCTCCTGGTTGTTTCTGAGCATCACATAGAACAATGTATGTCAAAGTACTTTGTAAATGATAAAGCAACATACTTCTGGGTACCTTGTTAATATTATTGATTTTAACTGTCTATTCATTTCCAGTAGTTTTCAGAATTGTAATATCCCAGGGATCTTCTATAAAGGGACTTGCTGTATGATACATATACTTCTACCTTCAGCCACTTATAACCATTTCTTCTGCTTTTTCAGGTTGCAGAAATTACCAGGGAGAAGTTAAGGAGGCACGAAAGTTGCTTACTTGTCTGAAAAGGTGATTTGTCTTTCTCGTACCTTCCTACCCCCTGTTTTAGCTAGGTCCTGGTGTGGCACTGTGGGCTAATGCATCAGACTGCAAAATCTTTTGAACTGCAAGATCAGTGGTTCAACCTACCAGCTACTCCTTGGAAACCCTAGGGTCGTTATGGGTCAAAATTGACTCGACAGCACTTAACAACAACATGCAATTTTAATCTGAAGGTGCCACTGTGGCACAGGGATTAAGCAATCGGCTGCTAGTCTTGAAGGTTAGTAGTTCAAATCCACTAATTGCTCATTAGGAGTCAGTTCCAAGATTACTGCTTTGTAAACTATTATGAGGCAGAAAGATGAGGCTTTCTACTCCCGTAAAGATTTACACCCTCGGAAACTCTATACAGGGTCGCTATGGGTCGGAACCGACTCGATGGCACATAACAGCAACAGCAACTACTCTTTTATATGGTTGTTATGAGTTGGGATTACCTGGGTGGTAGCGGGCTTGGTTTGGTTGTTGCTGCAATTCTAAGAGTGCCTGGGTGGTGCAAACCATGAACATACTTTGCTGATAAACAAAAAACTGGACTCAAGTCTACGCAGAGGCACATTGGTGAATATGCCTGGCAGTCTACTTTTGAAATATCAGATATTGAAAGTCTTATGGAACACAGTTGTGCTCTGATACATGTGGGGTAAGCACGAGTCAGAATTGACACCCTAACATCAGTCCTGGTGCAATTTCAGGCTTCAGTGCAAACTCTTATGTCATAAGATAGGTTGCCATAGCAACAGAAATGGGAATGAAGGCCTTCGGGAGGGTAGGTGCATTGTGAAGTCACTTTCAGATGTGAGGAGGGTAGGAAAAGGGCTGAAGACTTCAGGTGGTCCCACCCCTGCCAGGCCAGTAGGCACTTGTTCTTGTACTGGACTTGGCAGCAGCTTTGTACTTTTTATCTCTGCAGCCCCCTGGGTCACCATTCTGATACCAGCCGCTTTCGTCAAATGTTATGTCCAGATCCCTCCTGTGAGGTGTGTAACAGAGCAACTGCTGAGGTCAGTCGGCTATTGTTTGGGGAGCCCATGGAAGATGCTGCTGTTCCTTGTGCGTCCTCTATGGCTTCCACCACATCTACCAGTGAATCATCTTACATGCTGGCCTCCTCAGAAGAGCCTCTAGAGAACCCAATACCTGTCTCTCTGCCTGAGTCCGCTGTCTCTCTCCCCTCGACAACCCCTTTAGTTGATATGAAGTCATCTTCACCATCATGTGACTCTCTGCCACCAGAACCGATAGATTCCACTTTCTCAAGGGAACATTTTCCATCCCAACCACCCATCAGCCTCCCATTTCAACTACATCAAACTCAGAAAGTGGATCATGTTCTACAAGCAGATTCTGATTTGTCTCTGAACACCATCTTCTCACTTGATGATGCTTTGCCTCAAGGTATGAACCCTTCACCGGATTTGTCCTGTGACAAATTCAGGTATCATTGCACACCATCAACCCCGACAACCTCACCACCACCAGAATGCACTTTAACTGTCACGCAATCTACATTAACATCTAACTCACAGAAACATGTCCCTGAGAACTTAACTGCAACAAGCACTGGTGGGCTTGCCCCGTGTTTACCAAGAGTCAGAGGCACAAATCTTTCTCTCGTGTCTAGTCCAGAATTCTGGTGCCCAACTGATACCAAGAACTTGATTCCCTCCACACTGACAAAACAGGACTCCAAACCAGAACTTAGTACCCTCTATACATCAGCAGTCTCGTTTGGGGCAAACATTGGAACCCACTCTGTAGAGGCCGGTGACTTCTCTTTTCTGAGTCCTGAGGTTCTGGATCTTTTGGAGAGACAAGTAAAAAAGAGAAGCAATTTTCTGAGTAGAGCAGAGAAACTTCAAATTCATCAAGAATTATATCCTAACCATGTACATCAGAAATACATTCAGCTCTTTTGGGGTCTCCCTTCTCTGCACAGTGAGTCCTTGGTGTCTTCTATTCTGGTCTCATCTGGCTGTTCCTCTGCTTTTGTCTATTTCAACCAAAATCCAGTTGAAACTGAAGATACAGTTTTCCCATTACTTTCCCATCCACTACCTCTTTCCTTCCCTGAGACTCAGCCTCATATCTTGCCTCAAACCTCACCCCAATCCCAGCATTTACCTCCCACTCCAGTCCAGATCCAGGCTCACTTTCAACCCCAACACCCACCACCTCCAGGCCTGATTAGGAATTCTGGAGTGTCTTTAGACAGACCCCAGAATGAAGCACAGTCTTGTAGTGAAGAACAAATTCACGACCTGGAGTGGCATGTGCTGAAGAAACAACTGGAAGGCTTGTGGGGTGTGCCTATGGTTGTTAAAAATGCTCAGGAAGTTTTTTGTCCTCCAGCTCCTAACTTTCATCAGCACCACAGGCCCTACAAGGCACCGCCTTTAATATCTGTACTTCCTGGTGAATTTCCTCTTGATAGTAAAGTGCAAACACTTTTAGAAAGGCACCTCAGAAAACGGCTCATCCAGCAACGGTGGGGCCTGCCTCGTAGGATCCTTGAGTCACTTGCACTAATGAAAGCACCGGAAGAATATCCGGAGGTATCTAACACAAAGAACACCTATGGGCTCTCATGGATCCACAAATTTAAAACGTGGGATAACAGGGAAGTAAATGATGGCGTGAGAGATTTTTATGGGAGAAGCCTAGAAAACCTTCACGTCAGGAAGGACAAGAAGAAAAGCCAGAGCCATAACTCTGAGGATGGAACACATCTCAGAACTACAGTGTCCAATAAACACGGACCAGAGCTGCCCACAATTCAAACCATGATGGAAAGTAAGCATAAAGACAAGAGAACTTCCACGGATACAAGGCAAATACATCATGGCAACGTCATATCCCAGAAGAATTTAAAACATTCTCCCATGCCCAGCAGATCCTGGGATATAATCAAGACCAAGAACTCGCAGCCCAGTCACACTATAAGAACCACAGAGCAGGGACATTCATATACCCAAATAAAAAATATGAGTTCAGGTAAACCAGAAACTAACGTAACTAAAACTTCCCGAACACCAAGAACATCAGTTCAACATAACGTGGCTCCCACTGGCTCACTATGGAATGACACGACCTCACATTCCCAGAATGTCCCCAATAGGTACATGGGATCTCCTCAGGTGCTATATGCCCACATGGAGGGCAGTGGGGTCAGTATGGTGCAGCAGGAGCTCTGGGTTCCGAAGGTCACCTTAGGGATGTGCCATGATAAGAACTTACCAAAGGCTGCACAGACAATGAACCCCCAGAAACAGAGAGTAAAAGAGCTGGGGAGAGGAGATGCAGGACTGGGGACATCACCAAACAGAAACATCTAGTATGCTCAAGAGAAGAAATTCAAGGAGACCTCTCAGAACTGGTCTTCCCACTCCCTGTCACCGAAGGGACAGTCCCCTAAAAGTTACCTCAGAAGTAAGATGGAATGCTTTTGGCATAAATTTCATGTAAAAATGAGGCATACAGTACAGGAAATTCTCCTCCCAAAAGGCAGCTGCATGCAAAGAGGAAAGCCAGGAAGAAGTAGAGTCCAGAATGGGAAGCCACAAGAACAGAAAGTGGGGCATAAACAAGAAATCAAGAGCACCTGCCCTCAAGAGCCCCTCTGCACCCATAGAATATTTGGGGAATTACAACATATGGGGAAAACCAAGGTCCAGGCAGAACTCATCCACGGGCACCCCTTTAACTCCAGCACTCTCTTCCAGCAAAGGAAGGTGTTCAAAGGTCACACAACTTTTCAGAGGCAGCCTCTGTGCACTCCCTCCTCCAGGGGCTTGCCACCTTATTCTGGACACACCAGCATGAGTCAAGCCTACCAGGTGTCTCAGAGTTCCTCCTCCACTGCTGAAGGCTCTCTATTCAGAAATTTGTCATTTCCCTAGTACTTCTCAAGAAGAAAATTTCACTCCAAAAAAGAAATATTTTCATGTTGCCAATATCAGTCCTCCAATGTTTCTTCTGGAGTCCTGGTGTGGCACTGTGGGCTAATGCGTCAGACTGCAAAGTTGTTTGAACTGCCAGGTCGGTGGTTCAAGCTCACCAGCTGCTCCTTGGAAACCCTATACAGGGTCGCTATGGGTCAGAATCAACTCCATGGCACTTAACAACAACAATGTTTCTTCTGAGTGTTGTGTTTTCCAAGTTTACTGTGTTTGGGACCTAGGTTTTGGGTATTCCAAGATTGTGTTTAGGGAAACAAAGGAGTTAATTCAGGTCTTGCCTATCGCCTCCTTTGGTCTCTAAAAGTAGTAGAAATCACCCGCCCCTGAAATGTCATTCCCTTCCAGATGAAGTTTAAGATGGTTCCTCCCCCTTCTTTAGTCTTTAAAAACAAGTCAGGGGCAGATATGGTTTTCAGTTGTGACTATAGGATCTTAAGTGGGGTGCTTAGTACTGCTGGAGTAGATACAGGACAAGCTGGGGCAGGTCCTAAGAACTGGGGAATCAATCTATCATGTAGGGCATGTTTACATTTGGGGAAGCGAACTAGAACTTGGCATTAAGGTTTTCCCCTCTCAGGGTCTTTCTTTAGCCTGACTGGATTGGTAGAATTGTTTGCAGGGCAAAACGATCATATATCTCTGTCAATTGTAAGAACATTGACTAAGCATCAACCCAGCTTCCAAGGAAAGTAAAGCAAAGAAAACAAAAGATTGAGTTGAAGTGGGAAAGGAAGTGTTGCTATAACAGATGACCTCAAGTGGCTGGTTTTAAAAAAATGTATTCTCTCACTGTTTAGGAGGTGAGACCCAATTCACAGTGGTGACTCAGAGGGGCTTTCCCTTGCTGTTGCCCTTTTCTCCATTCAGCATTCTGGAGGCCCTTGGAGATTTCTGTGTGTCTTGGCATTAATATTCCCTATGAATTTAGGGAGAAGAGACTCCAGGTCCAAAGGACACACTCTTCTTTCTTGGTGGTAGTAGGTTCCTCTGATCTCTGCTCACTTTTCTCTCCTTCTGTCTCTTGATCAGGGCTGTGACAGGATTAAAGGTGCTTTGTTTGTATCCTACGTTTAATTCTATTACTGGTTGATCACATGGGGGATGTCTTAGGATGGGTTTGTTAGAGAAACAAAACCAGTGAAACTTATCTAGGTATATATAAAAAGTTAGTATAAAGGAAATGTCTCATAATTGTAGAGGTGGGAGAGTTCCAAGTTTGGGTCAGTTAAGCCAAGATTGGCAGGTGGGCCCAGCAGGCAGAAGACCAGACAAAAAATAGAGCAGGTTCTGGGCTCAGGTTAAAAGAACTAGAGATTGTTGGACCACATACATGCTAGATTTAAATCCAGTGGAAAAAAGAGCAAATTTCTCCTGCACATTATATTGGAAGCAGGCCACACCCCAATGAAACATCCTTTCAATTGATTGGCTGCGCATAGCCAATCATCAAAGAGTTAACTATGTCTGCTCATTGCCAATCATAGAGTTAGCTATACCTGTATTAGGTTTCACCATGGGGGATAACTGCATCTCAACTGCCCAGCCATTGGGAATGGTCAAGTTGACATAAAACCTTAACTACCACAGAAGACCATTAGATTAACTGCCACATTACATCATTACATGACTATTAAATTACTAAAAATCAAGAGCCAACGAAGCCTGATACATATAATTCAATCCAAGATGGGAAAAGAAAAAATATTTTTGAAGAAACAGTGGTTTATGTCTCATCATGACTATATCAATGTTTTGTTCTGCTCCTCCTTCCCAATCGAATCCAGTAGCCATTTCCTTGATGATCAGGTTACTGCAAAACATACTGATGCTATTACGGTAGAGATGTGCACAAGACATATTAATACTATAAGGATATAGTCGGGCAAAGCATCACCCTCTTTAGGGAAGATATCCTTCCAGCCATGGTAGATGACAATGTGTAAGACCTTGTCTTTAATGTGCATCAGGTGGTGCCACTTTGTGATCTTCATGGGCTGGGTAGAACCATATTCTTTCCAGGAAACCCAAAGCTGATGCAGTATAGGGGAGCTCTAGATCATGCATCAGGGCTACAGGTATTTGGGGGCTCACCATGGATTTCCATAGAATGCTTTTCTCACCAAGATCATGAACACAGCTACTCTTAAAGCAGGAGTGTGGGCAGAAGGAAACTTCACTTGTATATGAGCTGAAACTCAAGAATGGAGTAAATTCTTTGGGATAATGGAATATTTCCAGAAGGTAAGTGACAGCTGGATGTCAAAAAACAAAACAAAGCAAATATCTACTATAGTTATCATTGCCCCACTTTCATCTTCTTTTCCAGAGTCAAACCTTTAACAGTTTATTATCTGAGGCTTATTATTAAAGGTAGAATGAAGATTCTGTGGAGACCTGACAAGTGACAAAAGGTGGGATGCGGGCTAAACCAAGAGGATGGGGGCTAGACCAGGGGTGGGAGGACTTCACATCCATGCGAATACATTAGCCAATATCTGGTCTCTCATTCTCTACATCTTAGAGTCCTTTACTCCCATTCCAGTTCAGATCTTAGGAATTATCATCAGGAACACCTTTGCTATCTGGAAAAATGCAGTCTGACATTCTTCCTTTTGAACTCATCTCAGTTCTTCCAGCTTGTGTCCTCAATTTGCAAAGTTTAAATTTAGGAACACCAGCTCATTAACTCTACTTTGTTCTCATCTATTTTCCAGTCTCTTCATTTCTTCCATCCCCAAGTATACTTCATGATCAGTTATGTAAGCAACATTCAAAAAACTACACTTCAAATGGGCCCATCCATTCTCCTTTAATCCTCCTTGTCTGACAAAATCTCATCTCTGTCTTTTTCAAATACGCTCTCTGACACATGACTGATCACTTTTCCTACTAGAAATGTATGAGGGAACCCATTTCCTTACTTCCTTGCCAAAACTAATTAGTGTATTATTTTGTTATTCCAGCCATCCTGGTATTGTGGTTAGGTGCTATCAGGTTGATTTTTGACTCCTAGAGACCTTGTGTGAAAAAGTAGAGCTGTTGTACTAAGTTTTTATGGCTGTAAAGAAATATTTTTGTAATCAGATTCTCTTTAAAATGAGTTGGGTTTCTGGTTAAACAAAGTAGATCAAATGATCTATGGCCATTGAGTTGATTCCAAGTCATAACAATCCTGTATAAGGTTTCTGAGGAGCAGCTGATTGGTTTGACCTGTGGACCTGGTGGTTAGCAGTCCAGTGCTTATCTACATCACCACACCAAGACTCCAAAATGCTATTAAAAGTAAATCATTACATAAAAAGATGCTTGGTATTATTAAGCATAAGGAAAACGCAATCAAAACCATATTGTGATAATACTTCAACCCACTAAGATAGTCAGAAAGCAGCCCTGGTGGAGCAGTTGTTAAGCACTTTTGCTACTAAATAAAAGTTAGGTATTTAAATGTGCTCAGCAGCTCCACAGGAGAGAGATTGGGTGATCTGCTCCCATAAGGAATACAGCCTTAAAAACCCAGCAGGGCAGTTCTGTATTGTCACATGAGGTCTCTAGGAGTCAAAAATCGACATGACTGTACCTAACTAACAGGATGGCTGAAATAAAAAGGTAAGATATTAACAAGTGTTGGTAAGGAAGTAAGGAAAATGGATCTCTCGTACACTGCCTTGGAAAACACTCTGGCAATTCCTCAAATGGTTAAACACAGAGTTAAGATATGACCTAGCAATTCACTTTCAGTTATCTACCCAAGGAAAATGAAAACCTACGTTCATACAAAACGCTTGGACGTAAGTGCCAAGAGAGGCTTTATTCATAATTGCCAAAAGGTGACAATAACTCAAAAGCCTTTCAACTGTCCAACGGATTAAACAAAATGGGGTATTAGAGATATTATACATCAAATTATATACATTAGCATATTATTCTACAATAAAAAAGTACATGTTACATGCTTCAATACAGATGAACACTAAAAACATTATCCAATATGAAAAAACCACTTACAAAAGACACCACCGATTATATGATTCAATTCTCAAGTGATGTCCAGAATAGAGGAATCTAAAGAGACAGAAAGTAGATTTGTGTTTGCTTAAAGAGGGGTGGTAGGGAGTGGGGGAGTGTGTGGTCATTTCATCTGAAGAAATTAAAATGTTCTAAACTTGACTGCTCTGGTAGCATAGTGGTTACAAGTCAGGTTGTTAACCTCAAGTTCAGCAGTTTGAATCTACCAGCCATTCCACAGGAGAACGATGAGGCTTTCTGTTCCTATAAAGATTTACAGCCTTGGAAACCCTGTGAAGCATTATTTTGAG